CTGCTACCTCAGACTCGAACTTGTAAGTGGGACAGCCTCTATAAAATACATTATGGGGGATGCCGCAGTTTGCACATGTGCAAGGCAGTTTGATCTGTTATGACCGGTTTGGGAAGGTCATGTGTACTGAAAGTAATTTTAGCAATGTTAGTAGGTTTCTTTCGATGACCTCAAGGATGAATGGAGTAGCAATGTACTGATATCACATCCTAGTCTTTGAGGCAGCCGAGCAAGTCTTCTCCACAATCTGAACAATCTTTGGTATCGACTGGGAAATTTGCTGGGGAGATAGAGACAGTTCCGGTACAAGTATTAAGAGTTGGACGAGGTTCTGCAGGGACGGGGGCGTGTGGAAGCGGGAGTGTTGTTGAGGGGAGTAGTATTACAGAGAGATGAGAATAAGGCTGTAAGGTAGTAATAAGGGAGGTTGGGGTGTTTGATGAAGAAGGTTGTAGGGGTAGAGTTGATGAATTTGAGGAAGTTGGGAGGGTAGGGATGTCTTCTGGAGATTGAGTCTCTGCATGGGTGGGTAATGCACTAGTAGGCATTGAGGAGTGGGTAGTAGTTCCAGTGTTCGGAGTCGTGGTCAAAGGAAGCCTGGGGTCGGGGAGCCAGTGGGGCAAGCCTCATTGCCCCTAATAAGGGGCAATTACATCTTCATTACTGGCCATGGGAAGTATTGATTATGTAAAGGGAAATAAGCAGTCCACCCCCCAGAGCCCTGTACAGGGGTAAGGGCTAGACAACTAAATCGGGAGTACCATGCCCATGGTTCCCACAGGCCATTCAGGACTGGCACAAGGTCAGCCTTTCATCCTTTCAGCACGGCTCTTACACCTTAGGAAGTAGACAGTAGAAGGGACGGAAACAAAAACCTGGAGGGGAAAAGACCCTGCAAAATTAGTTGAATCGAGGCTGAGGCCCTAGACTGGAGATCCCTACATTGGATCTCAGTCTCCGTCTCCTAAGCCCCCCCACGACAACAAGAAGCAAGGGATTGTTTTGTTTTTGTTTTTTTTCTAACAAATAAAATGTTTTCTTCTGGGATTTCTTACTTTTAAAAGAATTATAGTAATTTTTAAATACTGTATTTGAAGTACATTTTCATGAGTTCCTGATTTGGTGAAAAAGTATGTTTTTCATTATTTTGGACAGAGAACAAACTGCAGTCTCCTTTAAGGTGTGATATAAGTTACAGGTCCATTTTATATGAGGCCACAGATTGCCCATTTATTGTCCATATAGAAAATTACGACTAGAATCTTGAAATTCTTATAGAACGTCACCTCCAGGCATTGTTGAACTTTTGGTCTCCAAGAATGCCCTCATATAATTGATTCTGCATATATTGTAACTTATCCTTGATATAGCTTCCTAAACTCACTTTCATTGGAAAAGGAACTTTCGATGCCTTTTTTTTATTAATTAATAAATAATAATAATAATAATAATAATAATAATGTTACTACAAAATTGTAAAAATATGTTTAAAACACACTGAGGGATGAATCCTTGTGTCATTCCAACTTGGTTGATAACCACATCTAAACACACTTAGCCTGGTTGCCAAGGATGTCTAAAATAACTTGTGCTCATATCATAAGACGAGCTCACCATATAAAATTTACACCAAATTATAGACAACGGAGCATTTTCACACAAAATAATTACGAGACCAACATGAACGGAACATTCAAATGTAAAGGTCTCATTCACCAAATTTTTACTTTAGCCAATATTTTAATTAATTATTATTATTTCTATTATTATTATTATTGAAGATGGGGTATGGTTCCCTTTCTTCAGAAAACGAGCAGTGCTAGTGCTTACCTGTGCTTTTTTCTTTTTTTCCACATGAAAAGTTCAAAATAAAAGTGCCATAGACAACCCCTAGTCACTGTTTTTCTGAAGAGAATTAGCTAAATCCCAACTCTGCAAGTAAAAAATGAACCCTATCAGGATGGTGCCAGAATTTTCTGTGAATAATTATTACTAAAGTCTAGCATTTCTGGCTGGGCGTGTGCTGTGTACAGCCAGCCCACCCGCATGCTCGCTAGAGTGATTTATGAAGTGTATACACATTATACATCATTACATCATAACATCCTTAGCCATACCCATCACTAAGGGGTTAAAGGCTAAATCTACTACAGTTGGTTTATTTTACTTGATACTTAGAAAATAAAATATTTATATGAATAAAAAAAAAAAAAAAAAATTCTGATCTTTAAAAAAACTAAAGCTCTGGCCATCAGACATTGTGGAAATAAAAGTCACACAAAAGTTCTGTAAATACCCTGCATATAATGTGACTTTATAACGTCAGTATTTGATGTTCAAAAATGGAATCGATGGACAGCTTTGAAAAAAGAAAGATGAAAATTTTGACTACTTACAAAACCAGGCAGAATGAAAGATATTTTATTAACTGACTAATATTCATTATTGTAATGAATTCCATACATACAAATCTTATCACATTTTCTAATATACGGTATTTACCTAATATTAACAAGCAATATTTAGGAGCTTCAGAGAAAAGCAAATCCATTGGACTTTGCTAGACATGGGTTACCTAAACCAAAGCCCTAATAAAATTAGTATTATGAAAAAAGAATACAGTCTCTAAATTCAAATTTCAATACAATTTACAGACTGCATTAAACTCACAATATTACTCTAGAGGATGCAATTTGATTGCTCAGAATTATAAAACAATTCTTAAGTTTTCCAGTAAACCAGCCATAAAAGCTGATTCTTCAAAGTCAAAGAAGTACTTATGTTGTCATCAGCTTAGAATGATACAATCTTTAAACCTCCCTCTGAATATTTGTTACTTTGTTTCTTAGACTTAAAAATATATTTTTCCTTAAAATCTGTTCTGATTCACAGAATCATAAAAAACAGATTTGTCCTAATGACCTCTGTAGGACAAAATTGCCTAGATATCAATAAATTATTGAAGATGACATTTGACCTGGTTTAGTAACAAAAATTATTAATCACTTCACATAATCAATATTCCTTTCCTACACAACTTAACTGATAATTGTACTGTTACCTTCCTCCTTGTTGTATTAGCATCAAAATACTGTTAGTACAGGCAATGATGGCATCGTCTGAGAACCACTTCATTTGTCATATATTTGTTTGAGACAAGATACATACTTCAAAGCACTCTGTTTTGATAAAATAAATATAGTGAGATCTTTACAGTTAGCAAACTTAACTACATACACTCCTCTCAGTATAACACAGTTTTACTCAAGTTTAAGTTACTACACACCAAATATTCTGGGTACATTTGCATATCCTCCTAGCTCCTCAGTACACAAAAGTAACAAAAATAACAATTCAAAAAGAATCAAAAAACCTAACTAAAGTTCATAGATACAAACCATTGTGCATAAAACACCTAAATGCAATTATACCATTTGCTGCTCCGCTAACAGAAGTTAGTTTCAATATTTTCCTGTTCAATTTTTTGGTTCACATGACTGATTACCATCAAGATAACAAATAACAAAAAAAAATGTTATCTTACCTGCATACCTACAGATATTTTGAATAGCTGTTTCATAAGTAAAATAGAAGTAGCTGTCAAATCAGTCATTCTAAAGAAATTTCTTTTTTCCTTACAGGCCCCAAAGGTATGTATCAGATGAAGAAAATGAGCAAGATTGTAAATTTACTTTAAATTTATAAGTCTGTTTTTCTTTTCTACTAGCTTTACAGTCAAAACAATAGACAATTCCTTAAATTCTCAATTCAGACTAAATTTTTTTTTTTCTTAATAAAGACTGCAAATAGTTCAAGAAAAACTAAGCCACAGACAACAATTTTTGACGACTGCCACATTTTGCCATTTATCCCACATACAGAAATACATACACACAATATTACTTAAATCAAAAGATTTAAGCCATTTTCTTATGCATTGCTGCCTGACCTACAGAAGAGCTCCCATAAATTGAAACACCAATGCCAAAGGTATATTTCTTTATACTGCTTTGATGGATAATATAAAACCTTTCCTCTCAATTAAAGCTCCTTATTTTCTCAGGACTGAGCCTGTGAGGTAACTGAAAACTTCTAAGAAAATGGCCTATTTTGCCTGAAATATATAATACACAACTAATTTTCTGTCAAATGTCTTACTTCAAATTGCTAAGATCATTCATTCTGGCAAAAACAAATATATATAATTTACCAGTATAATAATATTGCTAATAACGGTGAATTAAATAGCATGAGCAAAAATGTAATAGTAATAGTACTAATAGTAACATCAGGAATAAAATATAAAAAAGCAGTATTAAGAAACAACTATTTATAATCATAACATAATGAAATAAATTCTGAAACTTTATATGATCTAAAGCAACACACTTTAGGTTATAGTTAAGAGATCTCTCACAGTTTAATGGATGAAAGTAAAAGATTTTCTCTTCATTTGATTTGTTTTTTGGTAGACTAATAAAATCTCTTACTCCAACAAAGTTATAACCAATTATGTGCAAACATGTATGTCTGTTTTGTGCATGTGCAGGTCCAGGTAAATACAATTACAAACACAAAATGACATTCATGTAGATTCACTCTCTCTCTTATTCCTGACAAATACATGTATCCTTTATAATAATTGGTCACTGCCTTTCAACCTAGAGGATCGCATCAAAGATTTACACAAACCTTTGGTAAAGGCAATTGAAGTCCTATATATCTTCCTAGAAATCACAATAAAAATAACAAATATCAAATAACTTTTCCTGACTGATTATGCACAAAAGAAACAATAAGACACAAAGAGAAAAAGAGAAGAGGTAGGATGACAAGAAGGGATGCTATTTACATGTTACCTGCCTTGGACAACACTTTAGACAGCCTAAAAACCTCATGCTTTATACCAGATGTTTACATGATGTTTCCCATTCCAGTTCACTCCTTATACCATTCTTCTGCCACTGAAGTAGAAATCAGTCGAAATTAAAGTATCCATATCTTGGTTAATTCTTTATTAAATCACTCTCATTGTGAAGAATGAGTTGTCTCCAATTACGTATATCATACACATCTCATCATAAAGCACTTCTTAAATATAACATCTCTTTCCACATGTTCAAAATGTACACCTAAATAGGTATGGTATGTTTCTAGTCTGCAACCACCGGCAACTCCAGGAAATGTTATTGGCATAAAAAATACACTGGTGTAACACCAAACATTTTGTCTCTAGTCAATACCACTAAAACTTGGATAATATTTAGCTTGAATAGATAACAAACTGTTGGTCATCTGGCGACGGCATCTCCACCTGAACATACTGTTGCGTCGAGTTGTAATCTGTTTCATACTGGGGTGTTGTACTTGGTGCTCCTCGCATATTATTTCTGAAACAGATCCAAGAATTTTTTTATTTTTTTTATTATTATTTTTTTTTTATGTAATACTAAATAGCAGTTAAAATTAAACAATACTTCATATAATGACTCAAACTATTGAAAACAAACTATTTCTTCCTCAAACAAATACTTTTTTTATTAATACCTAATCCTCTTCTGACTTCCTCTTTACTGGCTGTCTTCTTGATATCTGTCTATACTGTGTTGTGGAAAGGTACATGGATATTACATACTTATCCTCTCATGTCATTTTAGCGAATCATGTTTATGTAATACCATCTTTTCCTCTTCTATCCTTGGTCGTAGACCAAATGTACCATTTAAAAGACTTACAATAATGCATTTTTCTCGAATACCCCCTAACTGCCAGCCAAAATGAGTGACTAGTTGCCACTGCCAGTCAATATTCAAGTGCTTATACTGCATTAGAATACATAACTACTTTAAGTGGTAGTGGTGCTTCAAGTACCTGCATATGCCACTGGCCTTCTAGGGTTTAAAGCTAGTTATTCCCAAGTTCCTCCCCTTCCACAGACTACCCATTTCATATCAAACATGAAATAAAAAAAGGAGCTATGCCTTCTAACACACTTACTTTGCTTTGGCATGGGTGAGGATGTGTGACTTGAGATTAGTACTCTGAGCAAATTTCTTATTACAGCCATCAAATGGACAAACATACGGCCTATCTCCCGTATGAATCCGTACATGTGTTCGTAGATTGAAATCCAGAGAGAATCTCTTGCCGCATCCCTCAAAAGTACACTGAAAGAGGCGGAATTATGGTTTTCTCATATGTAAACAATGATCATAGTTAATGAATTGGTAACCTGATGAAAGCAAATCAGTAAGATTAACTTTCTTACTTACTCCAATAAATCATTACATAATCAGAATCAAGAAAATTCTTCTAGAAAAAGGTATAAATGAGAAGAACTTCAAAGAACAAAACATCTATTTTAATCATTCATTCTCATTCATGCATTTTCCTATATTTGTCAAAACAAACATTCATATCTTACATCTCATGATTACCTGAAACGGTTTCTCTCCTGTGTGCACCAGCTGATGTCTTTTAAGTTTAGAAGATTCCACAAAGGCTTTCCCACACTCCGCACATACATGTACTCTTGGACCATGTGTATGTAGATGTTTACGCATTGCTGAATTATCACGGAACATTTTGTTGCAACCCTGTAACATAAAAAATGAATAAGGATGTACACAGCACATATAAATATATATACATACATTAGACAGGTAGCCAGATAGACAGATGTAGATAAAAAAACAAATATTGATAGATATATATAATATTCAATTAGCTAGAGCACTAAAAAGAACTCAGAACAATTGTCACTGACTGAATGAATAATCACCCGAAAACACAAGCTTCAAGACCTCCACAAAAACCGTAGAAAATACACACCTTATGCGGACAGGCAATAGTTCTTGCAATGTCATCGCTACTAGATTTCTTTGGCTTTATCTTCGCAAATTCGGCAAGTTGTTTGGGGTCTGAGAGGTCAACGCCAGGTATACCCGCTAGCTTCTTATTCGAGCCTGCCATGTACTCTGTGTAATCTGGATCTGGTTCTGGGTTACTGAGGTCATCTGAAATCAGAGGAAAAAACGTTAAGGAAACAATGTTCTGCGAAAAGGAAAAGATGTGCTAATACTGAATTTAGAAATGAATTTAGGAAAGAATATTTTATGAAAAGATATGCTAATATTGTAATTACAAATGAATTTAGGAAACAATATTTTGCAAAAGATGTGCTTAAGACTGTAACAACAAATGAGTTTAGGAAACAATATTTTGTGAAGAGATGTGCTAATACTGTAATTACATATGAATTTTATTTGTTATTTATAAATTCCTCTCGATATGAATGTAGCCATTTTACTCATGTTATCATGTTTATTTATAATGTTTTGCTTTGGAGATATAATATTTCAAAGTCTTTATATTCATGACTTTCTGCTTGCCCATACAAAAAAAAAAAAAAATAATAATAATAAATAAATAAAACAAATAATAACAACAGCATTAACAATGACAATAATAATAATAACAACAACAATAAATAATAATAATAATAATAATAATAATAATAATAATAATAATAATAATAATATAACAAAATAATTATAACAAATAATAAAAATAATTATTATAATTAGCACTAAATATTAAAAATAACAAAAATTATAACAAGTGCAATAATAACTAGAAATAGCAGTTATAAAAAATAATAAAAATAATCATAATAATGATAACAATAAAAAAGAATAATCAAACAATAAAAATTATAATAACAATAACAATCATAAAATTATATATAAAACAATCATAATTATCAATTGTAATAATCATAATTATAATCTAATATATAATACCATGTTTAATTATAATTACATCTAACTATAACAATGATAATAATGATAACAATAATAATAAAAATAATCATCATCATTAGCAGCAGCAGCAGCAGATAATATAATAATGATAACAAAATGATAATAATAACAATAAAAATAATAAAAATATACTCATAATGATAAAGAGTAAAATAAAACTATTAATACCAACAATTATAATAAATATAAAGATTATAGCATTATACTCATAAAAACAAATACCATAACAATGATGATAACTACAACAGTAACAATAACAATAACAAAATTACAATCATTTTAATAATCATAATAACTATCAAAAGTAATATCAATATAAACATTATTATCAGTAACATTCATTATATAACAATAATACAAAAAATAATAACAAGAACAAGAACATCAATGTGAATCAACAATCAACAAGAACACAAACAAAAATATGAACAACATGAATAGGATCACATCATCATCATCATTGTTTCATATCTATAGTTATTATCATAATCCCAATCTTAATCACAATAACAATAAAAATAATAGCTAGAAGCACTCAGAGGGCGCATATCTCCGCCAATCAATAGGGTTACAGATGCAATGAAAAATTCCTGGATCCACATCATGATCCGTGTCACTACCATAATATAATGGCATCTAAGTTAGGTTAAGCCACACTTTTTGAGTTATCCTGCTAACAAACAAATAATATCCGGATACTCACCAAAATCGAATGCATCTAAGTTAGACTAAGACCCATAAAAATGAGTTCATAACTTTTAAAAATTCTAATTTTAAAAATTAGTTAATAACTTTTTTAGTAAACTGCTTACGAATAAAAAAGCAAAAATGACGAAGAAACTAACCAAACCCAATGTCGATGGGAAGATGATGCATTCCCTTGGGCATTGTTTGGTTAAATGTTTCTGCACAGAGATGGCTCTGCCAATGCTTAGCCACAAAGGCATAAATTAGTAGATCTGGGCAACCTCACTTTTCCTTGAAAAAGTAGGAAACTTTTATTTTCTACGAATGCCAGCAATATTGACTCTTAATATTGTTGTAAATATTATAAATTGTATTGTTACCGATATAACTAACAGCAGTAATAAGTACTAGAAAATATTATCGAAAATCATGGAAAAGGGTAAATAGGTGAGACAGGTAGTTCGTGTAATCGGCTCATTAGTGACTTGGTACTTGTGGAGCCATCTGTATGTAAAAACAACTACTAAATTCAACACACAATGCACATGGCATGTACATACATGCCATGCCCGGCAACTTAGGGTTAATATTGATAATAGTTACAATAATAATAACAACATTAAACAGAAAAATATTATGATTATAATAATAATATTAATAATAAAATAATAATAATATAATAATAATAATAATAATAACAATAATAGTAATAATAATAGTAATAGTAATAGAATAATAATAGGAATAATAGGAAAAAATAATAATAATAATAATAATAATAATAATAATAATAATAATAAAAATAACAAACAATAATAACATTAAAATGAAAAAATATTAAGATGATGATAATAGTAATAGTAAATATAATAATAATAATAACAATAATATTAACAACTATAACCATAACTATAACAACAACAACAACAACAACAATAATAATAATAATAATAATAATAATAATAACATTAATAATAATAACAATAACAATAATAACAATACTACAACAAAACAACAAACAACAACACAACAATAATAATAATAATAATAATAATAATGATACAAATAATAATAATGACAATGATAATAATAAGAATAAAAAAAATAATAACAGTGATAATAGTAATGACAATGATGATGATACCTAGTAGAAACAGTAAACCTAATTACAATAACTATATAGCAACAGTAACAATAACAGTGATGATGATGATCCTAATAATAATAATAACAATAATCACTAATAACAATTTGTAGTAGAAGTAGTAGTAGTAATAATGATGATGATAATTATCATCATCAACAACATAATTAATATCATATTAATGCTGATAAATATAACAATTACAACAAAATTAATTACAATAAAAATACTAAGCATAATCATTTTCACAGAAGTTATAATTATATATCATTAATATTCTCATTACACATTATAATTATCATTTTTATCACATGATCATTACTGCTTTCACCAAACAAATATAACAGAAATAGAAAAAAGACTAAGGAAAAAATAAATGGAAATGAAAATGGAAACAAATAAAGCAAAATAAATGAAAAGTACATATATAAATAAGCCAGAAAAAAACAAGAAATATAAATGCAAATCCAAAAACAAATAAAAATACATAATATAATAGTAAAAATAAATTTCTTTATCACTGATAAAAAAATGGGTAATGTTAATGTTAATGATAATGATTATGATAATAATGATAATCATAACAAAGATAATCAAAATAACATCTATAAAAATCAGAATGATCATAATACTCTCACACAGTACCATAACAATGATAAAAAATAATAACTTGCAGGACATATTGAAAAGCCACAAAAGAAGAAGAAAAAAAAAAAATAAATAAAAGATCCTTCCCTCCCAACCTCTCCTCTCCTCTCTTTCACCCTTCTGCCTCTCACTCTTTTCTCATTCTTCCTCTCCCTCTCCCCCTCCCTCTCCCGTTCTTGTTCCTGCTCCTTCTCCCTCCCCATTCCTGCTCCTCTCCTGCTCCTCTCCTTCTCCTTTCCCTCTCCCATTCCTGCTCCCTCTCCTTCTCCCTTTCCCTCTCCCATTCCTGCTCCCTCTCCTTCTCCCTTTCCCTCTCCTCACTCCCCCAATCTTCCTCATACTCATTCACTTTAAGCTTTACATCCACCCAATCCCACTTTCCTCCTCCTCCTCCATCTTCCCCATCCTTTATTTCTCTCATGTCTTTCCCTCCCTCCCATCTCTCCTCTTCCTCTTTAACCTCCTTTCAGCTTTCATTCATCATATTCATATCCATCATCATCATCATCATCATCACTATTACTATTATTACTAGTACCATTATTACTATCATTACCATTATTACTATCATTATCATCATTACCATCATTGCTATCATTACAATTATTACTATCATCCTCATCATTATTATTATTATCACTATCATTATTATTGTTACTATTATCATTATATCATTACTATATCATCACAACAGTAATAAGGCATCTTTTCCAGTGGCAATAAGGGTGTCGCAAAATGCTCCGCGACACCTATCACGAGACAGGCCTCTAAGCTCCGCCCATTTCTGTGACGTAATGGGAATGATCGCAGTTGACAGCTTGCTATTTTACTGTACTGGTTATTTTTCCAACAGGTAAACAGTATTTTGGAATATGATATCCAAGATGGCTTTTGATATTTTATGGTGGGTAGTGCGGTGTTACAGATATCCAATATAAGTACGAATATGCATGAAATATCCAAAGTAGGAGGAATGCATCTGGCAACTCATTTAAAGTTAACCGTCTATTCGATTCCTGTCGTGCAAGAGGTGTCGCGTTTCCCGTAACCGCTGGAAAAGATGCCTATAGTAATAGCAATAAAAACAACAACATCAACAAACAATAACAAAAGCAATAATTATCTTTATCATATCACATAATCACATATACAGTAACAACCATAATAACATAACAGCCACAATGATAAAAAAACAAAAACAAAGATAATGATGATTTCAAATAATAATAAAATAATGGCAATGATAATGAAGATCATACAGGTAATAATAATAATCATTATCATAATAATAACAACAAGAATATTAATAACAACTATAATAACAACAATAACAATAAAACTTAATAATAAAAATAATAATAACAATAATGAAATTAATCATAACAATAATAATAGCACTAATAACAATGAACAAAAACAAAAACATAAAATTTAAAAAATAAATGAAGACAAAAAAGAATAATAACAATAATAATAACAATAATAATAATAATAATAATAACAATAATAATAACAATAACAATAACAATAATAACAATAACAATAACAACAACAACAATACCAATATCAACATTAACAATAAAAAGTATAATCATAAAACAGAAAAAAAAAATATCATGATGACAATACTGATAACAACAATGACAATGACAATGATAATTATAATATCAATATCAATAATAATAACAGAAATAATACAATATAATAATTACAT